GCATGTTGACAAGAAGAAAAAGGTGATTATGTCATCTCAAATTTATTCACAAGCACTCACAGGCAAATACTCTTCTGGAGAAACAGAATTAGGCAAGTGAGGGTTCATCCTGCAGACAGCGCTGGATGGAGAGGAAGGAGGTCATGATGTCTGTGTGTGCTTTTTCAGGGGTTTTAAGGCAGAGTGCATGGAGGAATACTGAATGAGTCACAACCTGCATTTATGAGCAGCAGCAGGAGGACCTGGTCTGCATTCTGAGCTCAGGGCTGGGCTATAAACATGTTAGGTCTGGCTTGGAAACTAAACAGTACCCTCTATTGGAAGACAGGGAGACTGCGTGAGGCAGGGCCTGACCCGGTCAGAAGAAACACCGCAGGCAATGCTGCTGCTGCTCCTTCTGTCAACTTTCAATCCAGTTAAACTACTTAATTAGCTTGAAACACAACCCATACCCTTCAAATGAAAGAGTAACTCCTATGTCATAATAACTTTCTTAAAACATGATGTATTTCTTCTTTTAATCCTGTCAGTCTCCAACACTGAAGTACCTCCACTTAATGTGACTCGAGACAGTCAGCACGATTTGTTATGGACTGCTGCTCACGACACTTCCATTCAAACATTCTTCTCCTGAGGCATGAATCACTACACATACTAGTCCAGTAGGATTTAACCCTGGTGCTCTGTTAAATGAAATCCAGAGGCCTCCAGGGGTCCAATGACCAGGGCTCCATGGTGGGGTTGCTAGGGAAAATGAGGGATAATCTAATTTCATAGCTAATTTACTGACTGGTTTGATCAAAGACTTCACTTTACTCACCGCAGCTATCACTCCAGCTGCTGTATAAGCTCCTATAATTACATACCTTCAAACAACATACTATATCTACAAGCAGTAAAACAGGATGTAACAAAACAGTAGAAAAATCTCAGTATAGTTCTGAAAAATCTTAGAAACGTTCTGCTTCATGTTCACGATCCATCCCTGCAGTGTTTTCTTTTGGTTCCAGTTTCATTTTATTTGACTTTTTGCTTCTCAAAAAGGCCAGAGGCAGTTTTTCTCATTGCAGATCTGACAACAGGCTGGTGTATCTCCCTTTCAAACATTTTATCCCTAGCTAATAATTTCCTGCTCCCTGAGGCTGCGGGCACAGGAGACAGCAGAGATCTAATTTAGGGCACTAAGCAAATTCTCCAAGTGCAGTAATGACATTTGCATACAGTATACAGTGGTATATCAGTGTCAAACCATTTTTACAGGCCACCAATTTCGCCAAAATTGTCTGTGAAACCTTGAAGTCACTGTCCTCCTTTGTCCATATCTTCTACCCTTCATGAAGTCGGGGTCAGGTTAAAACCATTTAGTGCCAGGCTGCTTTTACTATCCCCCCTGACCTGGCATTTGTCCCCCTGGAGACAAATCTTCAAAGGCCACCATTTAAATTGTGCAGCATGGATTAATGCAGTCCTCCTGTGATTTCCTCTGAGAGCCTGGTTAAATTCCAGCAGTCAAATGACAGCAGTGACAAGACAATATTATAGCTGAACATCCCCTAGAGCTATGCCAAACAAAGTGACATGAAACCTCATCTTTTGGTTATTTATGAAAGTGATAATGTTCCGTTTTTGTTCCAAGTGTTTCAGAGAGGTGTTAATTCAAGACTGTAGACACTTTGAAGGCTGCGGTTTGTGCTGCTGTTGAGCTGCACTGCATTATACAGAAAGCTGTTTCTGTTATAGCCGAGCGCTGCTGATATAAATGGGCTGGACAAAATAATAGGAACGCTTACAATATCAGCAGCACCACAAACTGCACCTTACAGAACACACATAAAGTTGAATTAGCACCTCTCTAAAAAGCCAGTTTGAACAAAAACTGAACATTATCGCCTTCATAAAATAGGATTTATTGCACGATCACTGGATTAAACTGCACTGGTGTTAGCTAGGTGCACCTAGAAACTGTAGTCTATCCCATAGAAACCTCCTAATCTCTTCTGCCTACATTATTTTTCAAGCCCTCTGCTATATGCTACCTTTTCATAATAAACACAAATAATGCATGCGCATACAGTTTTAATGCACATGACACTGCTGTCTGCAGAAATAATGCCAGGATGGACAGAAAAGAAAAACTTTACAACCAAAATACAAGATAATTAATTTGCCAAAGTAACACAGCTGTAACTAAAACATTAATGTTGGCTGCATTTCATGAATAGGTTAATTGCTGGTATGGAGTGTGCTGGCTACACAGCATGGCTTACTGGGGGACCTATATGCATTAAAATGTCTGTGAGAAACACCATTTCTTCAGGTTCAGGTATTTTGCAGCCCTCTAATCAGAGATCAAAATCCACCTTTGCTGTAAACAAAGCACAGTAGTGTGGGAGTATTCTGTGTCACAACTCCATACTACATAAAAAAATACTAACTAGGGTCTGAGCCTGTAGTGTGGTCATACTGGAACAGTGACAAAGTATTTTCCAAATAGCCATTATGCACACTGCAAAAGACTGACCTTTTGAGTGCACACAGTTGTCTCACAACGCACAAACATGAGCCTCTAACAGGTATAGGCCATTAATTGCAAGTGGTAGTATAAGTGTGAGGATGATACTGGCAAACAAAAAACTAGTAACAAACCTTTCAAAACCACTTTGCTCTAAGACCTGTTAATTAGCAGTGGTGCACTGAAGCCACATGACCCACCATAACCTAAACATGTAAAGAATAAGTATACAGTATGGAACTGAGACAAAGCAGAGGTCTGCGTTGTGTTGGCTTCTGTTGCTGCTGAAAACACGGTCAAAAAACAATTAATGAAACTCCAATATAACTCACTTTTCATGGCAAACATTTTGATCACAGGAAAAAACACAGGTGTATATAAAGCTACAGGTGTGCTCCCAAAAACTGCCCCAATTACTAATCCAGTGAGACAGCATAAATTATACCAAGATACTTGAACTTACCTTAATTGGAATGCAGCCATAATTAGGGCTATTAACTACGTTTTCCTGCTATACAAAACACTTAGTCCCATATCCAGCTGTAACCACCATAATCCAGGATGTGCAAAGGGGACAAAGACTAGCACTGCATACAGGGAACAGAATAAATGAGATTCTATGTGCAAATAAAGAAGACTACCACTCATAAAAATGTTAACATTTATTGCTGTTCCTGAATACCGCATTGAAAGTAAAGCATTCAAGAGTATACACAGAAATTATACAATTATATATGGTTTCACAAAGGCAGTGAACACATACTGTATTACAATCTACAAAAATCTACTTTACAGAAATTTAAAATTCTAAATATCAAAAAGTACAGCTGCAGAACTGGAACCAGAAACCGCTCTCGGTCAGTGACACAACATGGTGACATCACGATACAAAGAAAGCGGAAGTCATCTTTGTACTTACAGCTGGTTTGGAAACTACAACCAGCAGACTAAACAAAAACATATCCAAAATAGCTCAGTGAACTGAAATCATATCATATAAATTATGATGTTTTATGCACCCAAACAATCATTTTTCAGAGGTCCCCTCTTCAAGGTACCGTCATATTATGTTCAGAGGGATTGGTAGTGTATCATTGCAAAAATATGGTTAGAATATAAGGACACACTGAAAAACAAATCTCCCATCTCACAAGAATCGAGAAGTAAATTTTAAAACCGCACATGTTCTCAACAGCCTGATGGGTCCTGGTGGAGTTAAACAGCGGTGGTGGTGAGGGGGCTGCGAGGTTGAGGTCACTTCCTAACTAAAGACCATTTTCACATGAGCTTCAGTGAGGAACAGAAATGGTGGTGGTAGCTCATAGCTTGAACAATTTTATAAACAATGAGGGGGTGGTATGGCTCTGTTCTGACCCTGGTAGTGTACTACACTGGCCTTAAAGGGTACAAACCAATCCTGCCTACCAATCCTGTTTCTAATGGTTGCAGCGAGTGGCATAAGAAACCACACCACCACAACATTTGAGCAACCTGATTTAAACAAAAACTGCCAAGAAACAATGTTTTAAGGTTAAAAACAAAGGATATGAAGATCAATAAAATATTCCCGTTAAAAAGAAAAAATGAAAATCTATCTGTATGCCCACATAGATACCAGGTAGCCATTTTGGAGGAGTTTCCAAGAGCAGGACGAGGTGTTTGTCTTGTGTATGAGGTGCAATTAATCTCATTTCCATTGACTGTCAAGCTGGATTCAAGGACAAGCTGGTTTATGGTCACACATGGCTGCAGGGAGGAGGGCTTCAGTCTAATCCTGTTCCATGGGCTCCTCAGTGGTTCCAGTGTTCAAGATGGCACTTCCCATGGTGCCCTCTGTAGGAGGTTCAGTCGTACTGCTGGATGGAGTGAGAGCTATATCCTCTCTGGCCGCCTCTGTACTCTCCTCTATGCTACAGCTGCTACCCCTACTACTACTCCTGCTGCTCCTCCCGTTTTTTTCCCCCCGCCACTGCTGCTGCTGCTGACTGGGTCATTGCTGCTCTCCTCACTGTCCCTGCTGGTCTCAGGGCTCTCCAGGACACCTGCAGGTGCCTGCTGCTCTGTCTGATCCATGTCACTGCCCTCCTCCTGGGAGCCACACGGCACCTCCCTCTCAGCCTGCTCCGCCTCCTGACCCGAGTCTTCACATGCCATGGCCTGTGTGCTGCTGGTTGGTTCTGCAGTGAAGAAGTAGGAAAGCAGAGGGGCCAAAGGATTCAGCATAACTGAATTTTTGAATCCTAACTGACTAACAAAAATTTACCAGAAAATGCTGTTTTTACACACAATATGAAGTTGGATCCAGGTCAGACTTTGGTGTGTGGTAGAGCCTGTGTGGATGTTATCATATCTTATAGGCATTATGTATGGAGTTAGAAGCAAAAATGCTGAAATTAGCCTTATCTCATAATGGTGACGAATCCTTTATAAAATTCCTGAATCTTGATGATGATGCAGATCAGCACCAAAATCTAATGGATTGATGTGTACGCCATATCCTACCTCTACAAAAATGTTATTCAAATCCATTCATTACTTTTTAAGTTACGCTGTGAACACAGCAACCAACCAACCAACAAATACCAGCAAAAACATTCCCTCCACCTTAGTGGATATAATAATATCAATAAGACTAATGAGTAATATGACTCGTACAAATCTTCTTCTGGACACATCTTTCAAACCCAGGCACACATTCCTGTCTATGCTGAATTTCTAGAAATGTTTCCCTAAACACTTGAGCATTGTGTTGTATGTTTTCATTTCTGAGCATAATGGAAGAGGATTTTCCTTCAGATCTACCACCGACTATAATTGGGTCCTTAATCCTTTCATCAACTCCAATTTTTCATAACTTACCTGTGAACACAGTACCTTTAAGAGTAGAGGATTTCTCTTCAGCATTGCAAAACATATCTCAAACAAACCAACATGGAATGAAAAAAAACCAACCTTGGTCTTCAGCGGCAGCAGCACTGCTGGAGGCTTCACCGTCCTTGCTATACCCGACTTTCTCCTGTTCTTCTTCATCTTGAACCATGGCTTCTGCCTCTTTTGACAGGCAGGTGGTATGTAAAGGCCTCAGTGTATTCGTCTCCTGTTCTTCCTCTTCATCCTCCTCATCTTCCTCTTCATCCTCTTCCTTGCTGAACTTAAGTCTCTTCACCTCCTGTTGCTCAGCTTCCATGCTCTCCTCTGCATCTGGGTGTTTGTTCTTCACCGAGGTGCCCAGGGAGCCTCCTGACGCCGAAACCTCACTGATGAACAAAGACGACACAGGACAGACGGATGTGATCAGGTGGGTTTGTGTTGGACATTACACAGATTTTCTGGTGTATTAAAGCTCCTTACTTTAAGTCTTTGTTGCCTTCTTGCTCTGTGTTGAGGTCTTTGTTGTCTGTGCTGTCTGGCAGACCATTTGCAGCTACTGAGTTAGCCAGAGACACCTTCGTTCGACTCAGTGGCCGGGGAGTTCCTGGACCGTTCACTTTTCTAACAGAAGGCAAAAGAGTGAAATTAATAATAATAAAAAAAAAATCTCATGCAACTTAAAATATACACATCAAAATCAAGAACCAGATCTGTCCACAACACAACCTCTCTGTAAAAGCAGATGCGCTCCCAGGAAGCATGACTCCATTCATTCTGTTGACAGCACTGCATCCATTTTTTCTGCACAAACACAAAACCAGAACTCTTCATCCAATAGAAAATATAAATATTTCCCAAACTTTTTATATAGTTATTTTTAAAAGTTTCATTAGGACACAATACTTACTCTGAGGTTGGATGAACACAGCTCACCACCATTACGTTCTAGGGGAAAACAAGAAAGGAGTGACAGAAGATCATAGGTTAATGACTTAAACATCCGCTGCTTAGGGACTTACCTTCTCCACGCCCCGAAGAAACTTATCTGTTCCTTTGTAGTTCTTCTTGGGTTCTGTAAGCAGTTCGCACAAGCGCTGGATTGTAAATGGGATTCTAAAAGAAAGAAAAGAGCAAGATTCAATATACAATACATATATTCAAAAATGTGTCATATAGAAAGTGTGGTGTTCTTCCTTTCATTGAGTACATCCTTGATGTCAAACCAACATGCTGAATACATTTCCTTCCTCAACAAAAGGAATTAAATGTACAGAATGATAATTATATCACTGAATATGGAAAAAACTTGTGATAATAGGTGGGGAACTGAATTAAAGCATGACATGGACTGATTATGTACAATATAATGTGTTAGTGTCACCATTATGTTAGTGACTCTCAAGCTCAACTATCTAGGGATGCACCAATACCAGTACTGGGTCCGATACCACCCTCTAGTACTTGTACTTGTAAAAGATGTCTGATACTCTTCAGTTTGTTTTTCCTTAGCTATGCACCATGGCAGTGGGTGAAGTTGTGCCAGAAGTTTGTGATTGCATTTAATCACAATCAGCAAATACATCTCATTAAAATAACTGTCTCTAAAGTAAATGCACTTTTATAGTAATTGTTATTTTTATAGTAGAAATGTGGCAATATTATATTATGCAATATTAAAATATGCAATTAGAGACTGTAGCAGTGAGGAAAAGACAAGAGGCAGAGATGGAGATAGCAGATATGAGGATGTTGATGTTCTCTTTAGGAGTGACCAGGATTTGGAATGAGCACATCAGAGGGACATCTCAGGTCGGCTGTTTTGAGGACAAGGTCAGAGAGGCCAGATTGAGATGGTGTGGACATGTGCAGAGGAGGGATAGTGGTTATACTGGTAGAAAGATGTTGGAGATGGAGCTGCCAGGCAAGAGGTCAAGAGGAAGGCCAAAGAGGAGATATATGGATGTGCTAAAAGAGGACATGAAGCTAATTGGGGCGAGAGTAGAGGATGCTGAGGATAGAGGTAGGTGGAAACAGATGATTCACTGTGGCGACCCCTAACGGGAACAGCCAAAAGAAGAAGAAGAAAATATGCTACTGTAAATACTTGTACTAAGGCTAAAATAAAATGGTACTGGTGTATCCCTATGCGGATCAAAACTTGCAGCTGAACTTCTGTTAACACCTGTGTTAATCCAGGGCAGGGCATTGACTAGAAACCCAATACACCAGTGGATCCGAGCAGCTATGATCACATGGCTTGTCAGACTTCTCAGAAGAAAAATGTTTTTTGGAGTGAGACACAGTGTTAACTGAAGTGTAGGAAAATTACTTGTACTACTATTCTTCTTGACCACTGTTACTTGTGAAATAGTGGAGCCTCATGCTGCTGTCAGCATTGATTTTCCCTCTCAATTTGCATTTTGGATCAGGTCTATTTTGGCCTGGGTCAGACTGTCCTCAAGTCTCTTCTTTACTGTGTCTGTTAATCAGTAAAGTGTCTGTTAATAATATGTTAATGTCTGTTAATAATATCAACTTGTTTGTCAGGTTGGGGTTTTCTTTTCATGACTGCTTTGAATCACATCCCAGACTTTGAACCCCAGAAGACCTCTTGTCTGGTGTATCCAAAATTTTCATTCCCAAATTCACTCAGCAAAACTTCAATGAGGAAGAAGACCCCCCACCAACTCTTGTGGCCCGATCACCAAATACCAATCAATAAATCAAATTTTAAAAAATGTAAGTTTACAATGGGTTCAGACAATGTCACACAATTTCAGACACAAAAAGTTTATTTCACTACTGTAGCTGGGTACCTACCCATTATATCCATTCACAATCTTCAGGATTCTCTCCTTCATATCTTCAAATGGAATTGACTCCACATTGGGATTTGCAGGACCCCTTTGCTCAGGTGCTGAGGCTCTGAAGTCATCCATCACATTCTCCAATTTGAATAGGAAGTAGTTTTTAAATTGAGACCACTGAACCCTGTAGGAAAGTGGTAAGCAGAGTAAGGTTTGGTAAGCATAAGCATAAACGTTACTGCCAAGTATTTCAAGAATACAAGGAATTTGACTCCAGCCTAATGGCCCCAATGTGCACAACATAAAGACAAAATAAATACACAATATATACAAGGTACACATTTGGTATAACACATTGAAAGACTGAAAACCTTTAAACACTTTGCATAAAAAATATACACGATTACAAATTAACAAAGGAATAAATAAATAGTATATTTAAAAATTTCTGTATAAGATCTTTAAAATGAGTAAGTGTGATATAGTACTAGTAACAAGTAGGGGGAAATGTATCATGCCTGACATCTTCACTTACATGGTCTCTCCAGTCTTGGCAATATGACATAGAAACTGTTCCAGAAGCGGAGATGCCTCCTTCTTTGCTTTCTTGTCAAAATCTAAGGGGAAAAATTAATAACGGTGTGAGTAAACGTGCATTTACACAACTAGCTACACAGCCAAACACAGATGACTAGACTTTGATCTAACCTAGCCCAACTTGTAGTTTTGATCATTTTACTATAAAGCCTGGATGTTGTAACCATATAATGTGATAACCTACTTTAGCCATCTAAATAAGTGTTGTTAGCTACTTTTCAACGACACTTTGAAGATCCCACTGTCCTCTTATTGTTAGCTATTTACATAAAGTTGCGGGCTAGTATATGCTAACCGATGTGCTAAACCTACGCTACATCGCTTGTTAGCTGCTACTAGCTGAAGTTTAGCCGCTGGTTAGCATATTAGCCGAAACAGCCTAGCCGGCAAACAGTGGTTTACCAATTGCCGGTGACGTTCATATATCAGTGACACCAACCAGCTAACGCTACTTCATCACAGTCAAACATAGCATTGAGGATATTGTCTAATACTGGGGAAAAAGAATACATATTTGGAAGTATTAATAAAGGTTATCACTTCTTTTAGTTAGCTTTCTTGTCAGGCTAATATATTAGACAGACAGCTAAGCTAACCATTTCCGTGAAACCGCTTGTAATGTTAGTATTAACGAACCTCATGAGTAGCGGGCTAGCAGCTATCTAGCTCACTACATTAGCATGAGCTACATTCCGTTTGTTTACTTATAAATACATCCACACATAAATGAGTAGGCTCAGTAAACACAAAAGTATCGAAATAAACTGAAGCGACCTCTGAGCGCCTCTTGGAGCGAGTCAATTTCCATCACGTCGTTGTCCTCTGTCAGTCCTGTGTATGTAGGAAACAGACTGGCGGATAGCTGCTGCAGCTAAGCTACAACCTCACAAGCAAAGAGGAGGGAGCATTTTAATATGGCGCCGTGAGGTCACTGCCTGTTCAGCATCAGAAAAGGAGGCACGAGCAACAGACCTCATCTCATGAATGGAGCAGTTTCCTCTCGGTTTTAAATAAATAAATAAATAGTACCCAAATGAAATATAGTCTATGAAATAATACAGTAATAAATGAATGAAGATAATAGAATTCTAATTAGATATAAAATTTATCCTACAATTTTTTGCAACTTATTATAGAGGAATAAATATACTGATGTATTGTAACATGTATATATGCATGTTAGCACATTTGTACATTTCTGCGCTACCTCCTATCTGCCCATCTGCCAATATGAATTATTTTTAAATTTGTAAATCCACCCATAACATCTACATTCAGCTTACAGGGTTTGTGTATTCACTGTCTTCTTTCATTAACTGCAGACTTGAAAAAAATCTATTTTTTATTATTTGTACGATTTGGCCAGTTTTTTTTTTCAGTAGGCTTGGAAAATCATTAATATGTTACAGTGTATTTATAAGGGATTTTATGGAATCAGGATTTGAATTCAAACACATTTAAAATCAGCAATAGTTAGCCAAAAGCATATATAAAACACAACAATAAAACATAATTACAGGCATTTAAACAGGCATGTGCCTCAGAGTGAACTAAAGGCAAGAGAATAAAAGCCTTTAAAAGTGGGGAGAGTCAGTGCCATTAGGATGTGTAATGGTAAGTTATTCCACAGTCTAGGGGCCACATCTGAAAAGGTTTAGTCTCCTCTGATTTTTAACCTGGCCCTTGGAACTACTAAGAATCTCTGTTCCTTAGACCTAAAGGACTTAATGGGAGCATACGGATACAAGAGTTCCAGGATATAAGGAGGAGTAATGACTGAAATTCTGAAATGAAACTTAAACCACACTGGAGACTAATAAAATGAGGCTAGAATCAATGTGACGCGCTTGTGTTTTCCTGTCACCAAGTTTGCTGCTGCATTTTGGACCAACAGTAGATGATCTAATGAAGGTCAAGGTCAAGTTTATTTATACTGCACCTTTCATACACAGTGGCAGCTAAGGTGCATCACATATACTGTGAGATCATAGAAAGAACCATACAAAGTTAACATCAAAAAAGATAAAATAATATAAAAAAACAAATACCAACACAATCTCACACACATGCATTCATACCAACCCACCTGTACCAAACAATTAACAACAAGCATATTCATAGGCACAGGAAAATAAGATTGGTTTATTCCCACATAAAGAGAGCTGCAGTCATCAATACGACTAGAAATAATAGCATGCATGAGCTTTTCAAAGTTGTTTAAACTCAGGAATGTGAAAGTGATTTGCTTGTTCAGTTTTAATTCGTATTCTAAGATAACACCCAGATTTTTGACAGTGAGTTTATTGAAAGTGACCAAGAATCACAAATCAATATTCGGGGAACCACAACCTCCACCAGGGCCAATTACCAGGATTTCAGTCTTAATCTCATTGAAATGTATACATGAAAGATATCCAGGCTTTTATTTGCAGTAGACATTCAGACTTTTTTTTTTAAGAATGAAGAGTATCTAGTTTCAGAGGTAAGTACAGCTGGAGGTTGTGCTCATAATAATGGAACCAAATACCATGTCAATCAGGCCCAGTGGAAGAATGCCTAAGAAAAACAAAATGGACCCCTGTGGGGGGATGCTATTGGGGTGTTTTTGGATTTTTTTCCCCAGTAAATCTTATACTTTGCAACAGACTGTTTTGACTTTGAGTGATTTTTGACAGCAGATAGACAATTGTGTGGATGAGAACTGGACCCTCTCTAGCCCCAAGAAAAAGTTCTCCTATAAACATCAAAATTTACTGAGCTCCAATAAGTGTATCACTACAAAATGCCACTCAGCGAGCATACACAATATCATATTCTTGGAAATGGCTCACATAAATGAAATGCAGCCTTCATTAGTGCTGCAAATTACACCTGTGCTTTTCCTATGATGTCTCAAAATGTCTGCTAGGAAAAAGGTCTATTCATATCCAGTTTTGAGAAGAATGCATTTCATTCATTTGTATTGTTTTCATATTTTAACATTCCTATAAATTACATATTTCTAAATGAGGCCGAAGCAGGCTCAGTATATTGAATTGTTTTATTTAGAAACACACATTGACTGTACAGCCATTTTCACTTTCCAGTTTGAATGATTTGACACATTTAAATGATCACATCACATTGAAAATATGTGACTACAACATACTACAGTATATATCATACCACGAACTTAGCTAGCCTCTCAAATACACGTCTACACTGCTCCTTTTCTTGTAATAGTAAACATGGCAGACGTGAATATTTATATGGCACATAATTAGCTGTAGTATGTCACATTTCATTCTCTTGGGCAGTGTGGCATCATGTGTCAACATGCTGTGTCCAAACAACCATCCAGTTAGGTGTTTTTAGGTGCATTTTAACATTCAGCATGTAACATAAAATTCCATATTTCCCTTGTCATGTTGTATTTAATACTGCCAGTGGCATTTGGCAACTGCAGAACAGACCAGGGATTTACAACGCTTCTCATTCACACAAACTCACATTTCAAGGTATTTGCTGGTAAAACATTCACAATTTTAAAAGAGTGGTTTTTAAATCTACTACATCATGTAGTAAAGCTTTGCAAAGTCCCAAGTTGACTTTGTTTAGTGTATATTCATGAGGAAAAATAAGAAGATAGATGATAAAAACATGCCTTTAACTTTTAAACATAAGGAGGAGCTGAAATTTAATTATTCTTGACAAAAAATGAATCCATGAAGTCATTTATCCCACTGTATCTTTCCTCATACATTTCATCACTGTAAGTGGGTTGTAAAAGGTTTAGGACAACAGTAAGGCAAACCTATTCGACAGCATCACTGAACAGCACTGTATGCTTGTCTGCCTACATAGGCTTATTGTATCATCACTGGAGGATCATAATGTTCATAAGACCATTACAAGGAGTGTCGTGTTGAACACACTGCAAACACAGAGCCGCTAGTTCAATCTGTGAAATGTTGGTGTGTCACATAATCCACAGCAAGATGGACCTTGGTGCTGCCAGGTAAAACAGTGAGTCCGTTTCTCCATCAGTTATTTGTGTGGTCTGACATGTCGAATTACTCTCTCCTCATATACTTTCTTCATGGTTTTCTCTATCTGCTTAAGGAAGACTTGAGGAATCCGACCACACAGGGTGTTGACTGTGTCCAGGAACTTGGTCTGGATGGGGTAGAAGAGCGACTGGAACATGTTGTCCTTAAAAGAAAACTGCAGGAATGGAGACATTGCCCTGTCAGTTCTTAGTCCAAAGCTGCTTCAGTTTCCTAGTTTTTAATGGAACTATTATATCAAGGACTAAATTGTATTTACAAATTCTGTCAGTGGAGTTGAAAGGGTGTGTATGTATGTGGAGGAGGGGGTTGTTCTTTATTAATAATCATGAATTACAACCCAGCTTGTCTTTAAGAGGTTTATCTCAGCAGAGCAGGGGGAACTGACTGTGCTGCTGGAGAAAACAAATTCAGAATTCAAAAACTGACCTATATTGTTTAATGCCAGACAGAAAATCCTAAAAGCTGCTCTTTTCTGAGCTAATGTCCTTAAAGGAACAGTTCAACATTCTGGGAAAAGTGGTTTGTGGTGTAGGATGTTGTGTATTTTTTCTCTTTTGATACAACTAGACTACAGTTTCCATCTACTTCCAGTCTTTGTGCAAAGCTAAATATTTTGTAAACACAGAGCTGAAATTTATACTGAGCATTTTACTATTTGCCTTTGCCCTCAAATGACTAACAACACAAAGCCAGCTGTATAGAGAATGTGAAGGTACGTCACACCATGTTGAATGTTGGGACAGGGGTGCCATTTTTGGAGGTACATGCCGTATTTCCTGCATACCTTCTTATTCTGTTTAGCTAAAAACTTGCTTAGTTTGATTGTCTGATGACTCTAAAATGCCCCAAGCAGTGAGTCTACATGTCAGCCCTGTGATAGACTGTGATAGACCTCTCCATGGTGTACCCCGTCTCTTGCCCAGTGTCAGCTGGGATTGTCTCCAGCGCCTCACCACCCTATTCAGGAATAAGTGGTATAGATAACGGATGGATGAACTTATAGATGTTTGTAGTATATATGTATATATATCTATGACTGAAAATGAGTGTGATGATCCAAACATTGCATATTTACCCAAAATACGCTGTGATGACAACTTCACATTCTCTTCTCGCTCCCTAATTTTGCAGCCACTTTTTGGGATAAATCTGTGATTTAAAGTGCATGTTCCTTTCTTTCATGTTCATGTAATCATTTTGATCAAAAGTGTCATATTAACAGTTTGTCTTAAATTATATTTACTAAAACTAGTGAAATAGTTAATAAAATTGTCTTACTGTGGATAAAAATTATTTTGTACACACAAGGGAGTGAGCAACCATCTCAAACTGGATGGGCAGTTTCAACAGGATCAATGTTGTGTCAGTGAAACCTGGTTATCCTACTGGGATACTCACACCACGTATTGCATCATAGACTACTTTAAATGCGGGCTGCTTGTCATCATGATACACGCCACGGTTGCCGTGGAGGATAGACACGCCCTCCTTCTCAGCCTCTTTACAGTTACTCCCATACATGCAGTGATCTGGCCTGTAGTTCCACTGGCAGGGAAAGATGAAGAGACACTCTGGAAAAAACAACAACAACACAAGAACAGATCACCGCTGATCTGGCACTCTGTTACTCTAAAGTGTGACAGTCAGGACACAGTGAGGTAAGCAGCTTATTTCCCAGTACACATTAGATATGAATAGAGATCTGGATAGAGAGCTTGAATGAAGGTATAGTGCATATTTCTGCCTCACTGTAAACAGGGGATTGAGACAATTTATACATGTACATACAAATTCTAGCATTACAGCTAATACTACTATTCCCATTTCAGCCTGAAACAAAAGAATATACAGGCACCGGCAGCAGGAGGGGATATGTTATCAAACAATGGATCTATCAATATGAATACAGTGTTCCAGAATAACATCTTTAATTTCTCACGCAGCGCAAGAGTTTTTCTGCCTTCAAGGGTGGGTATGTTTTTGTCTGGCCTCACCTTTCCAACTAGCCGCAAACATGCATATCACAAAAATAATATGCAATCAGGCTGGTGATTTGTTCAATGAATGTGACGCTCAGGACAATTTGTACCCTTGAGCAAAAGGTGTTTTTCCATTATAGGAACCTACCGAATTGGAGTAACATTGGACACGAGTTCTGCCTTTGTTTCCACTGCCCAACGCCCACTTTGGAGGTGTGTTCCAGGAGCTAAATTTCAGCACCCATCAGGAGGTAGTACAAAAATCAAGTTCATACAGTCTCCATTACTGGCTGATTGTTGCACTATGGAGTGATCCTTCATGTCCTCTGCTCTTCTGCTTTCCAGCTGAGTGTGTGTGTGAGAGGAGCAAGCCCCCCTCTTCTTTAAACAGAGACCGGCACAGAGAAAAATACAGTGGAAAAGCAAAGCAGGATGGGCTGTGCCAACCTGTGAGGTTATGCTGGGTGGTGGTAAGGGAAACATGTGTTGTACCACTCATTAGGTTCTGATAGTGGAAAAGCAGCTAACTTGATCAACCTCCACCTGCTCCCATGCAGCAGCTCAATGGCTGATAATAATTATACAGAGCACATGCATGAACATAAAATGTCTCCCCTCTCCTCCTCTCCCCTTTACTGTTTTCACTCTACACCAACGACTGCATCTCGAAGGACCCCTCTGTCAAGCTCCTAAAGTTTGCTGGTCTCATCCGAGACGATGACGAGTCAGCCTACAGACGAGAGGTTGAGCAGCTGGTCCTGAGGTGTAGCCACAACAACCTGGAGCTGAACACGCTCAAAACAGTGGAGATGACAGTGGACTTCAGGAAGAACACCCCAACCTTACTCCCCCATCACCATACTTGGCAGCACTGTATCAGCAGTAAAGTCCTTCAAGTTCCTGGGCTCCAATATCTCCCAGGACCTCAAGTGGACATCCAACATCAGGACCATCACCAAGAAGGCACAGCAGAGGATGTACTTCCTGTGCCAGCTCAGGAAGTTCGAACTGCCCCAGGAGCTGCTGATACAGTTCTACAGAGGACTCATCAAGAACATGGATGCTCATAAGAAGTATTGTATGGTAGGGTTTTATGAGCCCAAGATCAAGAGTGGTACATACAGTAGTACCATTTTTATTTAAAAAGAAGATTCCTTTGCAAATTCCATCAAATCCTGAGCTGAAGAGAGATTAAAGTCTTTTATTTTCTGATTGCAGAACAATCAAAATAGGAGAGAACAATGCATATGGACTCACTTGAATATTCCTCTGGAGATGGCAAAGAGCTCAAAGCCTTAAGATGTCAAACAACCCTCCACTAGGCTGGAATTTCAAACAAACGTGCCAGCTCTGCCAATGGCTCTGAGCACTTAATGCCTACATCTGGCCGCTGCAGCTGGAACTCAGTCTGCTGCTAAAGTCTGCTGTTGCCTACAGCCACAGCCTCATGTGTTTACTGATCCATATTCATTATGTAGATTGGTTTATCACAAGTGGAATAAGACATAATTTTATGTGAACATGTTGGTAGTGTGAAACTATTGTACTGAAAGTAAGCAGATTAGCAAACCAGCATTTCAAAATGGACCCTTCAAAAGGGTCCACACTAACTCCTCTTTCTGTACATAATGTGTTTTTAGTGTGGCAGTAATATGTTCTATGATCATTTTAGAAAGGACTGTACCTGGGTTGTAATGAAAGATAATGTTGAGGAGGTCCTGGTCCCCCCAGGTGATGTGGTTCTTGTATTTTTGATAGAGTGGATGTAGAAGATCCTCCCAAGAAAGGCCACTGGGGATCATACTGTTCTGAAATACCAATGACAACATTCACTCTCAAGAGCAGCTTTTCCCCCAAAACACATTATCGGTGGAGGAGCACATTTACATTCCAGCTTCCATTTGCAATCTGCTGAAAGTATTAAGTGCTGGAGAGCTGCTAAATTGAGTTCTGATGGCAGAGGTCTGTGATAATCTTGGTAATCAGAAAGCTTCAATCACAGCCCACTCAGAGCGCTCACCTGTGACTTGGGCTCAAAGAAGAAAAGAGAAATCATGAGTCACTTTAGCTTTCTCCTCATCACAGTATGAGGAAATAAAAGTGTAAAAGCTGACAGCAACGTTATATCATATACTGTATGTATATGCATACTATATTTTGTCCTTACTTTGAACATTGTGCTTCGGATCCTTGTGAGGTTCATCAGCATGACACCAGAGTTGACCCCTGTGATACCATAGAAAGGGTGGCGTGCAAAGCGGCTGTACCAGCCTATCTTGGGGACCTCATGCTCTGGGGCCATTGCTGCAAGCTGGGTGTTGTTGAAGGACTTAAGAAAACTCCAGATATCATCCATGGCCCGCAGAAACAGCACATCAGTGTCCACGTAGAGTAATGAGTCCACATCCTTCAGGATGACCTGGGAGCACAGTCACAGTGATCACAATATTTAAGACTACAATCGTCCATCTGAAGAACTAAAATGAACATAATTACATGACGACTTAGAAATTAAGTTAAATAAATATAATTGCTTTTGTTACATGGTTTTAAATTGTCTCCTTCTGCACAAACAGCTTGCTCTCCCAGGCACTGGCTAATGCAGATAGGAACAGAATTATAGTGTGGATAAAGTGTCACGTAAAAGACCCCGAACGTAGTTCAACATTAAACAATTGGCCACTTTTATCATTTCATTTCAGAAAGAGTAGATTTTGATCTGTGAAAGACTATGTTATAAATAATTCACATATGATCAGTCCCTGAAGATGTGGGCAATAGTGGCAGAACAAAAAAGCTGACTTTCACTGTCAGCTAAGAACAACACGATGAGTTGAAGATGAGATAGTTACTTTGTGTATCTACTGATGAATTGTGCTGTCAGTGAATGGGATTCCAGGGAGACTGTGGCTGAGATTAGTTTTTTCCTCCTGACTGCTGTGGAGCCAGCTGAGAAACTTGAGAGTTTAAACTGTATTTGAGACAGGTGAATTTTTTTACTATACTTTATACAGGGAAGTTAAGGACAGAGTAAATTATGTATTACTTCACTGTTTAGTTAGCACAGGCTGCCATGAAGTGTAACCAGTCACAATATGCCATTTAGAATATACAACACAGATAGATGGAGGTTCAGGCTGTCCTCCTGGCAGGGCTGTAATACTACTAACTGGGATGATAAATTTGGAGGCACTGGCTCAATAAAGTTGGCAAAATGGCCATGGCTGAATGCATTTGTGCTCTAGTTGCACACTAATGCAAAACAAAACCCCAACCACTATGCTGCTGGGTGCTTCACCATGGGCTGTAAGGTTTTGTTGGTGTGTGCTGGTGTGTGTGATGAAGCTATAATCAATCCCAAAATATGCAAACAGAGCAGCAGACCACTTATTGTTTTATTAACCTAATTTTATGTGTGTATCCACAGCTGAGGACTGAGTTCTACAAGAGAACACATTTCCCTGTTAGTATAAATGGTGCTTTGCATGTAGTGTGGTCCACAAAACAGACTGGATGTTCACATAATTAACATAAAGGTTGTCTTTTAAAGTTGGCATCCATAACTGTATGATAACCAAGGCCCCAACCTGTAGTAAGAGTTCAGAATGGAGCAAAGAGAACATACTAGACTGGTATCTGACAAGTTCCCACCCAGCTGACCAGTACTACAGAGACTGGTGTATCTGTCAGTACTGGTGGGCTGCTGGTCCCACTCTGTTTCTGCTCTGTACCATCAAACCAGCCTGCTTCTTGATTTTCTCATTGCTCAGAAGACTGAACAGTACCATCATCCAGCAAAAGGCGCTGTGTTGACCAATCACACACTGGGGACTGTCAGAACATGGGTCCCCATGGAAGAAAACTCTTTTGTTTACCTTTGCATGAGCATTCACTGGTATTCACTGTCGAATTTGGATCAGTTATAAATGCACCATGGGGAGTTACGTTTTGCCGCACTCAGTTTAAAAGCTTGCTTAAGAATTTCTGCGGCATTAGCTGCCAAAAGGATGGAAGTATGTACTGAATCAAGATGAATCAATTTGGCCCTTAAACAATAATTCAGACTACTGTAGAAGATGTAGGTGTTCCTACAGTAATAATGAATGTTCTTTGATTGACTGGTGACAGGAAACACCTATGGATGTGTCTGACCTGCAATATGTTTATTACATGATAAGTAAGATGGGTGGTTTGGATGAACAGACAGAAACAAATCAACAACCAGGCACAACCTTCACTTGATGAAATTACTGGATTCAGCCTGTGGAGGCTGCTTATTTGTTAAGTAAATGCTGCAGAAAATGTGTGAAATCATCAATAATCATGCCAGTAAATCATTAAAACCGAGCACCAGGATAGAATAAAGGGTAGGACAATGCTGCTTTGAATATTAATGAAATGGATTCATAACATTTCTTCTGAACACTGGTTCATGATATTATGCACAGTGGTGATATAAGAGCTTCAGCCTTACAGGCAGGAAGAGTCTCTGAGCAGCACAGGGCTTGAAGAGCTTCTTCCACTCGTCAGCGTTCCCAACAGAGAAGGTGATGGGGTAGATCCTGTACTGGAATCTGCCTGAGATGGAGCGAGGCCACTGGTTCAGCTGGAAGTAAAGCAACACATCACATTTTATACAGAGGAAGTGTCAAATGAACCTTTAGAAGTTTGACAAAGAAATAAAGCTATCAGTTATTGTGCTGAAACCACATCTCCCTCACATTTCACAGACTTATCAACATAAAGACAGACAATGAAGTCAAGTCTCAGTGCTGTGTGGTTTTCTATGGAACACGTTCACCCACCAGCTGTTGTGTTACTAAAAAGGTACAGACTAAATCTTCTACTGTGGGGTTGTAACACTAAACAAAAGAGGACATCCTCTCTTAAAGTCAACAGTGTTAACAATGAAACCTGTGTTATCAAACCTGTTAGGAGCTGAATCCCTCTGTAATCATCTCTTTAACTGTTCTGATCCTGAAAGGAATGAGAGCGCTGAAAGAAGTTGGCAGTTTTTGTGCTGACAATGACAAGGGATCAAAAGAGAGTGTGACCATCCGTGTCTTTTAACATTGTGACTGTACATCCACTCCTTGCTATACAAACCCAGCATGTGTACCGTGAGCTACTCCCATAGGGCACTGATTCAAAACACACATGAATGAAAGCGCACTTTTCTCTGGCTTGGATATAAAATTGCTTAAGGTGCTTTAGGTGCTGTTGAAAGTCCATTAACTGGAGTGACGTTAATAGACTGTTAGTTACAGTGTCAGTGGAACTAATCAAAATCGTACCAGGCACCTGTGTAAAGGTGACTTTGAAGCGATACACAGTGCTGGAGAAAAAGCAGGACGTCTTGGTGATGAATTACACCCCAGCCTTGAGATAAAAGGGATATATGTCTGTACTAAGGTTAGTCAGAGAGAGGTCAGGTTAAAACAGCTCTGATCTTGATCTCATCTATTACAAAGAGAGGGGAAATGTTTAACATGCACAGCATTAAATCAGACATTAGAGGATCCTCTAAAGAAGAGTACACAGAATGTAAACCACAAAAATGCTGTTTTTACCCAAGGCTACTGTGCTTTCTGCTAAGAATCTACACTGTATACATTCAGGCATCAGGCCCTTACCCTTTCTTTAAACTGTGGGGCCAAAGGGTCCTCGGCAAAAATGTGAAATTTGATCTTCTTGAGGCTGAACAGAAGGGCAGATTTGATCATGTTAAGGGTCTCATCCAGACGATTCCCACAGGCCACCACAGCCAAATGCATGAACTCTTCAGCCTGGGTGTGCTTGGTCACAGGTCGGGCCACATTACTCTGAGGTTTACTGGAAAAGACACATAGAAGACAGGAATGAAAAGTGTGTAAACTGTTAACAGTCTGGTACAAGAAAAGAAAACAAACTACATTTTTTAAATGGAGCACAGGCACATTGGTATACTACTGTATCTTTTCAATGCAATGTACTGTAGCAACAAAGGCAGGGAGATAAGAACGGGCTCCATTAACTGAACAAATGATGCGCAGGACATTTAGTTTTCTCCACCCAACAGTGTTTTCGGTTTTCTAAACAGGCCAAGGCCATATGTGGGGGAAGTGGACTGGGGGTTGGCTCTGCTGACAATCCCTTATTTCATAAACCTGGTTTCCCTCACTCATCACTTGTAAATGGGCCTATGTGAGCTGAAGAGCAGATGTAATGGACCATACATGAGGCAAAACATGCATACAAAAGAATTAGAGTAAACACATTAGGTTTGATCAACGGAATTTTATAGGTCGACACCAATATTTCTTGGTTATTTAAGACAGCAAAAAATGATATTTTGTGGGGATCTTCAATTTCTTTACAAATTGTACATTTTTATATTAATAGTCCCAAAATTATATAGCAATTGCCATACCTGTACTGTACATGCTACAAAGTCTTGCTGAAATGGTGGGAAAGCCTTTAAAATTGTCTATTGAAACTATGGGTAGTTATTAACCTCTTGCACTCTAAAATTTACCATTGCTTCAAATGTTGGTAAGACACGGTTGAGCTGCTTGTACCATGATTAAGCCTGCCTCTGTTATTGACCTGTTTGTTTCCTTTGCTGTTTGCCTTAGATTGAATACTTAACCCGAGCTTCCTGGATTGCCTGCTTCTGGAAATGATTACTTTCCTGAATCTTCTGAGCCGCCTGTTAATATAGTGTATTTGTTTGAGACTCCTGTTGCCTGTAAATACCGTATTTACTGGAGATGATAGTTTACCTGTGTTCCCCCACTGCCTACTAAGCATTAGTTAGCTATCAAATAACGGTGTCTCCCATCTCACCTGCCATGTTGTTACTTTCCTTTGTGTACTATTTTGAGAAGTGTGTCACTCAGCTGTGTCTGGCATTGTGTCTGCCCTGTTGTAGTGTCTCTCTGTTGTGCCACAATTAAAGCCCTGTTCTCTCCTCGGCAACATCAAAACAAAAGTACTAAAACGTGACAACTGCATTTAGCCACATGTTAGCAGCAATACACTGTATTACATCTACTATGCTTGTACTAAACAGAGCATTTAAACCATGACACATTTTTTATGGTTGCATGACTCCTTCAAAAAGAAAAACAATTTATTGTGCAACAGTCGTACACATTTCACTGTAATTCAGTCTGACATATTTAAATGACATTGTAGCAACTGTCAATTTCAATAAGTGTCTGAACAAAGCTCATCTGCACCACATGAATTTGTTATTACGGACTCGGGGGTAGAGCTAAGCTATTTTAGTACAATTTATTATTGTTAATTCTTTCAGACAAATATTGTGACTATGATTTAAAAGGTGATTTTATTATTTTTTAATTATTTTTAAAAGAAAAAAGAAACAAGTGTCATGTTTGGAGAGTGCCCTGCAGCCCACCTGTCAAATTTCACTCACAGGAAGACAAATTCATCCTGCTGTCAAAGCTGCAAAATCAAGGCTTTCTCAGAAAAACATGAAATCTGTGCTTTTGCATACTGTTCAAACATACCTCCACAATCTACCACACACTTCTTCTCCTCTATAGCTCTGCAAGTTCCCACTTCTTTGTTCTTCTTTGCTCAAAGGCAATGAGGTCTTTTATGTGATGTAAAAATGTGCCCTCTCTGCAGAGACAGTGCTGCTGGAAAGTTAAAATACACTGCAGACTGTCTTCCATTGTAATAGGAGACATTTGTACAGTGGGGGAGCCTTAAGCTAGGACAAACATCTGTGTACGTGTCCTCCTCAAACACGCACACAGGGCTGGTTACAATAACAACATGTTCAACATAAATTTCGTCATAACCATAAGCAGACAAGACTGGAACACAAAAAAAGAACAGAGCTCCCTTTGTTTCAGCATGTAGCTTTTTTGTTTAATGTCTGGAGACGGCATCAATCCAAAAGTCACGGATTTCCTGGAGGAAGCAAAGAGCCTAGCATAGAATGGATGGGAGGAGAGAAGAGTTGAAATTTGACAGGTGGGTTGCAGGGCACTCTCCAAGCGTGACACTTCGTTTTCTGCATGGCTGAGGGACAATGATGAACCACAGATTAGAATGAATGAGAAGGTGCTGAGAAATCTGTCTGCCACGCTTCAACTGCCGATGCTCTGTCAAGGTTGTTGAACACACGTTCCTATTTTCCCACAGAAAATGCAATCCATATCTCTTACACAAGCGATATTATGGTGCGCTCTGTCATGCAAAAATAAATTCACTTCAAATAATGTCTGCATAAAACTGGATGGCAGAACAAAACAAAACAAAATTCTTTGCTGCATAAATGGGCTGCACAAATTATGTTTCTTTTTTCCATAGCACTGTTCCCACATCTGGAAGCAATTGAAAACCACAAAAAGAACAAAAGGACTGAAGTCATTACTGCAGAATGAGCATGAGAGGAGTCCCCTGCCTACAAAGCACCACCACCCTTTCAAATCATATGAGAGAAAAAGCAGCATCTTTAAAGATAATGTCAAAGAAGTGTGCATACAGAACAAAGAGCCAGAGTTAAAGCGACACCAAGGAACGCCTTGCAGGCATTTAATGAATCAACATATAACTGGGTCATTTGGTGGACTTGTACCCAGCATGTTCACTTGGGTTTGAACCAGTAGGTATCAAAGCCATTAGACAAAGCGTGTTCCCATCATATGCTCCCTCTTTGTCAAGACTGAAACTATATGACAGTGAAACATACAGACACTTCTACAGGCTGACCAATTAGATTCCTGAGGACAGAGGACAAGTTCCCAAGACATGTGGCAAAGCAGAGGGAACTGTAAAAATTACTGCCATAGACAATCTGTTTTCATTTCACTCATTTTCATAAATGATTTGCAATAATCAGGATGTCTAAACCAAACATGTCACATCAGTCCAATTGTTAATTCACCCAAGATCTGATCCCAAACCATTTTATTTACTTTTATATCACTGTTTACCAAACAATCATAAATCTAAGAAAGTGAAACCCAGTCAATCATTAACAATGCACTGGACAGTTGAATATTCAATACTAGGGGTGTAACAGCACGTTATCCTCCCAAATTGTTCAGTACAGGACATTTGGTTTGATACATTTCAACAGCTTCCCTCTGTGGCCTGCTCCCTGTGTGCTACAGTAGGCTGCACAAGCCCAACACACAAACTAACGGCAGGAACTAGAATAGCAGAGGTTGAGAACGGACAGGTGAACAAAAAAAGAACCAACGTACACAATGTAATCCACAGCACAGGGACTGTCAGCGTGGAAGACAAAAGGACATATTGCTAACCACATAATAGCGTGATAAGGTCAAGCCAAAACGCACAGGAACTGTCAGCGTAGCATCTTAAACACGTATAAAAATGCAGGTCAAACATAACATTTATCTTAGTTTGGGTAAGTATTGCCCGTTACATGTCGCAATGCTCCGGCGACGACGGGGCGTCTGCCAGAGGTATAAATAAGGAAGCCAATAAATAACCGGAATACGCCTCAGGTGTGCGCACCGACCCACGACTCACTAATTACCCGATGCGACACAGCTGAGGCGTTGATCCCGCAAAAAGGGAGAGCAGGAGAGGAAAAAAAGAAAGAGAGGCAGGTCGTGCCGAGCGGACCTGACACACTGCACTCTGTTCTAAGGACCTTGGCATGGTTCTTGTGCTGGCACTGTGCACATCCCAGCTACCGCACCTTGATTAATTCAGCCTGCATGGCAAGTTGGTTGTGTGTGTGCTACAAGTATCAAATGATACAGTGCTATGTGAACCAGTTGGTGTGTGTTGCACTTGAATGTAGATCAGTTATTTGGAAGCACTGTGGTTTCCCATCCAGTTACAAAAACACCAGACAGAGAATAATGGATCTGATAAAACTGGGTACCAACACTGTTGATTCTAGGTTGAGTATGTCTCTAGGCGCACACACATACAAACGTTTTTGTGACAGTATAAACAAGCACAAGCTGCAACTGTCCAGAAATGATCAGACAAAACCATGAACTTCTGTGTGCCATTACTAATTGCTTGTTTTGTTTGGCCAACAGTTAAAAACCCACAGATATTTACTTTACAATAACATAATCTACGTTCAAAGTTCTGCTGCTTCAAAATGTTGGATTTTACCCAAATCAGCTCTTTCTAGCTTTCGCTGTTCTCCCTCCACACCCTTCATGACTCACCCTTTGGTAATTTGAAAGTGAGTTAGCCAATCAGGCAGAAAAATATAACTCCCGCTGATGGGGCTCATACAAGCACCCTCTCTAACCGCATCAGGCTCCACAGGCAGGCAGGGAGACCTCAAGCCACTCCTAGCAGAGAGAGTGTTCAGTCATGCGAGATGACATTTTTATAGCTATGCATAATGCCACTGTGAGAGAGTGACTTCTTTACCGTGAGAAACGCTGCCTGGCTATATTTGAAGTGACGGGGCAAGGGATTTGTTTCAACACAGTGTATCAACACCCATCTAATCCTGGAGATGCAGACCTTAATTCAATGTAACAAAGCAGGTGATGGGGTTACATCTTTATTACTCTGCATTTGATACTGTACATACTGAAAATAATAAAGAGATTAGAGCGAAGGAATGTGTAACTTACAGGGAAAGGCTGTGTTGCAAGGGTTATAAGACATAGACACTGATGTTTAGCGCTCCAACTAACAATTATTTTGAAATATCAAAGTGTACTGAAACATTGACGTCTTCAGACTCTGGAACCACCAAATGTGCAAATGTTTGGTGTTTTACTTGAGATGGTCTGCCTACAAATGTGTATCTGCATTGTGACACGGTCTTGTATGCCATATGTAAGATGTGTGGGGGGTGGGGGCAGCTGTACCTCTTCTTTCTATTTTTGGCTACAGGAAGTAGTGTGATGTGTCAAGAGGAAATGATATGATTAGGAAAAACAGGGATGTTTGTCTGTTAAGCATGCTGCACAGGAAATCTGTCCAGCACTCTGATTCACAGATGAACAGTGTTGACAGCAGATAGAAGAAACAAAATCTAAATATATTTAGCTCTCTATTTTTATGTATTGTTGTGCCTATGATTCCGTATGCACATTGACTATTCGGCTCCTGCCTAAAACCGACACTGTACTGTTCAGATCCCTCTGGCTTTTATAATCTCAAACTAAACAAAAAAAACCTTCTGATTAGCTCATGCAATTAAATAAAGAACAGTTTTTCTGAGACTTTGCCCAGGCGCACAGTGTGCTTTCCCTAATCACAGCAGTCAGTCTTGAGCCTATTCCAAACCTGTTAGTGGTTTTTTACGGCCACCGCTGACCCCTTCCGCCCTCATCTCCCTTATCAGAGCTGAGCACACATGGAGGAGTGTGGTTTCTGGGAGGATGCAAAGGTCCTTTCTCAATGTAACGCCTTCATGGCTTTTATCTACAAAGAGAGCAGTGTCCCCAACCTCCAGTCTGGCTTTGGAGTAGAATACATATTACTGCCTGCCGGCAGAGCGGGTTTCTCCACAGCTACGCCATGGCTGGCATGGCATCGCTGGCATTCAACCTGGGAGAAAGTGCAAGGGATGTACGAGGCTGAAATTAAAAATCTGGAAGACATAATAAAAACACTTCCCTTCTTGGACAGAAATAGTGACTGACAAACTCTTCCTTTTGTTGAAATTTGAGAAGCTGTGACAAGGCGGTGACTTAATCAGATCATCTGACAGGTTGCAGCTTCTCTGTAACAATGCAGAAAAGGAAATCACACCTGACAAGCTTTTCACACCCTCATGAATTGTTTTGGGAGAGACAACAGTCACCAAGATGAGTTTCCATGTTCTGCATTTCCAGTGATATCTCACCAGTGTTGCAGGGCAACCATTTCACAGGCAAATAAAACCATTCTGTGCACATGTATATTCTTAATGATCTCCAGTCTGTGTTTGCCAAGGTGACCTTTACCCATTTAAAACAGAAGAGTATCACACAAAAAGGCCTAAAACTACAAGGGTCAAACGATCAAGATTTTGAGGTCAGGTGGTGATTTATCATTCTGTTGTGCTCTTGTCCTCTCTGCAAATACTGCCAGCACTTTCCACCCAAGCACATTAGTCGTGCTCTCTGCTCACATTTTAGCCAGATGTTTGAGCAGCCCTCTAATTGTAACAGTGTGATTCACGGTGCAATAAATAAGCGAAAATGATGGGCATAAAACGCAGCCAGGCCAGATGCCCATATGCATACTGAAGTGTCCCTTAACAGATGAAGCCATTGTGAAGCCTGAGTCTGCCTGTAAAATGTAGGCAGTTTGATGGAGGGAGCATATCTGCTTCGAAGCATGATTAAACGCTGGGGCACACGCTTTTTTTAACTTCCTATCGACAGGAAAGCTGAGAATCATCAAATCCAAGTAGTTAACGATGCATGTCTATGTGCACAAATAGGAAGAGGCGTGGAGAAACGGGTTTATAATCGACAGAGGAGAAAGAAACTAACTCCTCTCACCTCTTTGCATTCACGCTGGCCCTTCTTTTGGTCTCTTTCTCTTCTTTTCGCCCCATGAGAGGCTCTTCCGCACGTACGCCGACTCCATCGGATGATCTCCTGGCAAAGTTTGCTACAATTTCGCGTCCGAGCTCCGGAGGTGACGGGGAAGAGTTCCTGTCCTCCTCCTCCTCCTCCTCCTCTAGAACTTCTTTCAACAGCGGATCGTCCGCGGCGTTGCCCCCCAAAAAGTACAAAAGTAGGAAAACTCCGAAACACACGGCGATCACAACTACTTTGCAATGGATCCGCATGTTGAGGGCGATTTGTAGCGGGTGGAAGAGACAGACGGGACTCCGTTCATGTCTGCTAGTGAGGAAGAACAGCCCGAGTTAACATTTTGTTCCTGCACCCCGTTACTGCAGATGATGCTGGAGAGCGGAGAGGAGCTTCTCATCGTCCATGGAGGATTACACAGCGGAGGCGTGGCTTCTCCAGCATTACCGTAATGACTGTCCTATTATCGCGCTATTATAATGTAATAAAACTGAGTTATATGTGACTACTTTGTTTTCCTTTTCTAAAATTACTTTCATCAGTAGTAGTTGACAAGGGTTAACATTTGGTTGCTTCCTAAAATGATGAAACGTTTACTGCAATGGCGTACTTTGTCAGAGAACTTCATAAATATACATAAATATGCAATAAATGAGTTCCCATTTAAACAATGACCAACCCTAGGAGCTACATTTTGCCCCTTGGACAAACCATTTGGTCACTCGAATAATCGTTTGTCATTTTTAAGCAAAAAACAAAACAGTCTCCGGCTTCTCAATTGTCAGAATTTGGATATTTTATCTTAGCACACGTGAAAAGACTAGTGTAAAGTAGGCTAGCTTGAGGAAGGAGCCGCAGAAAGAAGCTGTCTTTTCCTCTGTTATTTCCACACATACAGAGCACAGGACACAGGGAACACGGAACCCCGCCAGCTCCGAACTAAATACATCCACATGGGCATTTAGGGGACACCGCTAAGAAAATTGGATTGGACCGGACTGGACTGGTTGGCCAACAAGACACCTGAAAACCTCCCATCCCAAAAATGTCTGGTGAATAATTGGAGCTATTTTTCACATGTCTCCAACAAGTATAGGCCAAACGAATAACCGAACAATCTAGACAAGAGTTAAAAGATATCATACTAACTTCTTGTGATGTCCATAAACTGAAGTCATAACATATTGAATTTACTCAGCAAATCTTTACTGCCCCTTTATACCCCGTACTACGGTACAACATGGACGCTACACCAACCAGCACACAGAGAAGCTTGCTATGATAGCTCTGACTGGTGAGTGTACGTTATATTCATGTTCACTTGTTTGCAAATATGCCGTGTATCACTAATTTAATCTGCCAGTTTTCACTGTACGCGGAATACAACTAGTGTGGTAGCAGCAAGCACCGCTTTTCCGCAGTGTTAGCCGAAACACACGAGGAGATCAGTCATGTGTTAGCTTAATTTACAGGCTAGTAGCAAGCTAACCATGAAACGAAACTTAATTCAGGCATCTGTAAAGTCAGTGTGACATATGGTCAAATACGTTCGACTAAATGTCTTTCTAGTTTTAGAATCTATGGTAAAATGTAGCCTGCACGCAGGGCCATAAACAGCTCAAGATGTAGAGCTTGACAGTTAACCTCCAGCTTTCTTCGCTGAAATACAGAGTAACTATAAGTTGTAACTTCAGGTTTTCTAATGTCATGTAACTGTAAACATTATTCTTGGTAAATGAAGGTTATACCGTACGTGCTTATTGACTGTAATTAGTAAATCAGATTACTAGCAGGGGTGTTTTGAATAATACACACGTTTGTCAATCAGCGAGAGCTTTTTAAATGTCCATATTTTTAAATGCAGTGCGGTATGACGATCTTTCCCTCCCTACGTGAGAGAACGGATCGAAAGAGTTGCAAGCTAATATTAGACCAATGCAGAGATACGTTTATAACGTGCTACAGTGGGAAACATTTCTTTATTTTGACACAAGGTTTGTTTACGATCCTCACTATCAGACACATGTGCTCTGCCGCTTCTGGACACGTGATCAATGACTACATTTAACGGAGTCAGCCACCAGGTGGCATGATATAGACAACTGGGCCATGACTCATTGAACAGATTGGCACACCGAGGTCCTGTACAGTGTCACTGCAGCTTAAGGAGCCTTCCTGTCATTAATGCTACAGGTGTGCATTATATCAGCATTCATAATGATAACTCCCGCGTTTGACCTGAGCCAAGATCCCGACTACCTGATCCTCAGCATCCGTGTGCCCTACACCAGAACATCAGAGTTTGACCTTTACATTGATGGAGCAGATTTCAAATTCTTTGCCAAGCCCTACTTTCTTAGGTGAGTTAACGAATACAGGTGAATTGATGTAACTGTTTATCTGTGTTTAACCTAACTGAAGCACAATTTTTGGGCATTTCAATCTGTTTATCATCCATCATAGGTTTGAATTTGCAGCCATTATATTGTGACCTTGGTGCCTGTTTCAATATCAGTAGAAAATGGACAGAATTAAACAAGTGGGATGTTAGTATTTGCTTTAACTGTAACTGTCACCATCTGGGTGTATTTATATTATTTTCAGATTATGCCTTCCTGGAAGACTGGTGGAGGATGGGAGAGAAAAGGCCACATTTGACATTGATAAAGGTAGGCCGCATTTGATGATAGCATGTACATGGGTGGTGAAGCAGCATGACTTGTCATACTGCAGTATTTGTATGGTAGAGCTGCTAAGGCATTTCAGTAAATGTACTGACTGCTGTTGAATAAAGGGAGTTTTTTATTGTAGAAATCCAAATTTAGTACAGACACAACCTGGAGGAACAATTTTCCTCCATTTCTAATACACAACTTAATCTCAGTGGACCCCAGATCGTTTTCTTATTTAATCAAATATGATTGTATAAATTTCTCACATTGCCATAAAGTTATTCTTGGATTAGATGTCCATCATACTGTGCAGTATACAATATAATCACCCTTTGAACCTTGAACCCGAGATGCAGAGAGAGACAAGAAAATATAAAATGGCAAGTTCTCTTACAGGATTTCATATCTTCCATCAATTTTATGTCTTTTTTTATTTGTCAATATATGACTTGGAAACAAGTAACAGCAGTTTTCTGCAATGTTTTTTTTTTTTTTAAGCTCCAACAGCAGCTGGCTTTGCTCCTGAGTTTGTCACAATGTGCTGACCTTTCTTTCAACATGGCAAAAACAATTTGCCAAGATATTGTTTATAAGTTGTACCAGTGCTTTTGAAACATATTGAATCATACTTCATATACACAACCCCCCCCACATAAAAACTAAATAGTTACCATACCTTCCATAAATTTGTTTTCTGAACAGGATTGTTAATTTTAATCATGGCTTGCCAGTTTACTGAGAGGGTTTTTAGATTTTCTGTTTTTATTGTCATTGTTACACTATAGTTGCTGAGAACATTCTCTTGCTGTCAAAGCTGCCTCAGGGCTTCAGCGCAGGCTGCTGTCCAGTATCGTTCGGTGTTGCATCCGTCAGTGTAACTGTAGGCTATGGTACCATCTTAACATCACTGAGCTTGTCACATGACCACCTCTGATATGTGGCACAGAACACTGCTTTAGAAAGACATTATTTCACGTCAGAGCTCATGTTAAATCATTTCCTCTCTATGCCTGTCACAGTACAGTGCTGCTCTGATGACATGACAGCAACTGTACAGTACTGTACACATTTGTTTCAGGTCTCCTCTTTACTGACACTGACTCTGTGGTGTGAAATTCCTCTTTGTGCTTGAAACTGCCCAGCAGATGGAAGAGAACAGGAAGCCTCATATACTGTAGTAATTGTAGGGGCGTTGATGCTAATTCATCAGGCTGAAACGAGTGTTTTATGACAAGTTTGTGCCGTTAAGAGAGTTTGGTGAATCCCTTGTATGAGCAAACCTCACTGAAAGGGTGTCCAAGGTTTAGGAAGAGAATGCAAAAATGTTAATACTAGAGACTCCACTGTGGTGAAGTGATTAAAGTGCAACTGATTTTTCTGTCAGTTTCAGCTTTGTGGGATAGTTTGACAAGCATGAAAAGAGATGGAGAGGGGTGTGAGATGCAACATGCTCCCTGGCTGGAACTGGTTTTTGGTTGTAGGTTGTAGGCGTCTTTACCGCCACCAGGGCACAGAAACTGGTGTAACTTGACTGGGTTTCTTGCCTTCATTTGGTCACCTTGTAAAATGCTATAAGGATTATTATTATTATTTTTTTTTCTTTAGATGAACAGTGACATTACATCAGTTTCACAGAGATGACATCAGTGGCTAATAAAACCGCTGAAACGTCTTTCCCTG